TTTCCTGCTTGTACAGGCTACCTAAGGACCAAATGTGGCAATGATTAGAAGATTTAAGAGGGATATATTATGCCAAGGACAGATGAATGGTGGCTCTGCTGTTGATTCCTTGTGTGTGTGTGTGTGTGTGTGTGTGTGTGTGTGTGTGTGTGTGTTAGACTTTTGGCTTTTGCCTGGATTTCTGAAGAGGGTTAGGGATGGGGTTAAATGAGATGAGCTTAAATTTTCTCGAACCTGGGGCTTTTCTCTTGTGTCCTGATGCTTTCTGGACAGGTGACTTCATCTGCCCAAATCTTAAAATTTACTTTTCCCAGAGACTCTGATACTCGTCTCCAGAGCATGTAGCCAAGGTCTAAAATCCAGTGTGTGCAGCTGATGACAAGCCCAGAGTATAAAGTTGTCTTTTGACAGAAAACGCATCTTCCATGTCACTTGGCATCTGAACGTTGCCCAGTGACATGCCCACCCAGTGCCCCGGGAAGGCCTGACTGGCTGGCCGATGGGACAAGGAGCTGTGGGGGTGGGGCAAGGAGAGGATAAAGCAGTGAGGAGAGCGTGGAGCTCTGGTGGGAAACCCCATGAACAGGGCAAGTTCCAGGGCCTGGTCCTTCTGGAACGACAGCCGAGCGGAGGCCAGGTCCCAGTTACTGCACCCGCTGAGGGTCCTGTGGCCATCGTTGCAGTTCGGGATTTTCACACACGGGCCTCCAAGGTGTGCAGTTTCCTGGTGAGCTCTGGGAGATTAGCATCATGGAATGTGGGGTGAAGGGGAGCCGTCCAGCAAAGCCCAGCATGCGTGACCGAGCAAACACAGTGCCAGGGAGTGGGCATACAGCAGTGGTCAGACGATTGGATACTTTCGTCAGCTCACTCTGGTCAGGAGCAGCTGCTTGGGACCACCACAGGCAGCCTGGCACAGGAGCGGGACCAGCATCCTAGTCTCAGCTCTTTCCACACTGTGTGGACATGAGTCACTTAACCGCCGAGGCCTCCATCCGTCGCTAGAGCGTGATGGTTCTTGGGGCTGTTAGGGGAGGAACAAATGAGTATTTGTGAAAATGCTTTGGCATGTGGAAACTGCTGTGCTGAACAAACGTTCGAGGGTCATGATTAGAGGCCACAGAGGAATGTTCTCGTTAAAATGGGAGATAAGCACCCCACACCTGGTTGCTTCTCAGTCCCCCGTGAACTGCAGCCGTGTGGGGCCTGCTTGTTAGCTGGCCCATCAGAGCAGGCTGTGCAGCCCCCCGGCGCTTGGGGCCAGGGTAAGAGAGGGTGCCTTCCTTGTCCAGGAGTTCATTTGCACACCTGCAGTGTGCCGGGCAAATGTGAGGCCAAGAATAGCGAGATGAATAGCTTGCCCAATAAATGGAATACAGCCCTGTCATAAAGGTTCGTCTGAAGTACTGTGGGAACACAGATAAGAGAGGAATTGATTCTGTCTGAGGTGGGGCCCAGCCAAAGATGATGTCTGACCGGGCTTTGCATGACACATAGGAGTTCGCTCTGTGAACCAGGATTCGGGGGCTAGGGGAGGAGGGCAGGAAGAGTAGCATGGCACAGAGGGAGGGCGGGGCTGGGAGCATTTGGAGAATGGCAGCGAGGGCCGGTGATTCATGCCAGGCTCTGTGCTAGAGGCTGGCGCTGTCCTGGAGGGGCTGCTCTGGGAGCCAGTGGCATGGCCTTGAACGGAGGTGTCTGAGCAGTTAAGATGGCGTTCCAGACGAAGTGTCTGCAGACACACAGTCGTGTTTGGGAAAACCACCAAGGGCCTGCCTGAGCTGTTGCTAAAAGAAGGAGACATTAGAAATAAGGCAGCAGAGGTCAGTAAATCAGTGGGCCCTGGATTGGAGCCTGCAGGGCCTGGCCGAGGGCCCCTGACAGTGGCTCGTGCCTCCAGCCACTGGTGGGAAGCAGGTGGCTGTCCACCTGGGCCGTCGGCTGAATCACTATGATGCTTGTACTTCACCATAGACCATCAGCTTGTGTCCCCGGTGGGACCCAGGCTCCTCGGGAGATGCCAATGTGCATCCAGGCTTGAGATTGTAGAAATAAACCAACCCAAGAGAGGCTGGGTCTGGATACATATATAAGAACCAGCACGGTCCAGTTGGCCAGGTGTGGGAGCCATTGCCAAGGCTACAGCGCAGCCCCTGGGGTGTTCAGGGAGGGGCCTCACATTTTTAGGGATCAGTCTTTAAGCAGAGGTTTGGCCATGGCTTGAAACAGGCTGAAAGGCCTGGATCATAATTAGTCGACTCGAGAGAGCTGAGCGAAAGAGGGTGCAGATCCGGACCCCAGCAGAGGAGTGAGGGGGCGGAATGGGTTCAAAGAAAGGTTTGGTACACAGAAAACCACAAAGTGTTGCTGGAAGAAACTGAAGAAGACGCAAATAAATGGCATGACATTCTGTGTACACGGGTTGGTAGACAATATCGTTAAGAGGTCAGTTACCACCCAAAGCGATCTACCGAGTCAGTGCAACCTCTATTAAAATCCCCATGGCGATTTTGTTTGTAGGTTTGTTGGTTAGTTTGTTTTGCAGAAATAGGAAAACTCATCCTAAAATTCCTATGGCGTCTCAAGAGACCTCAAGTAGCCAAAACAACCTTGAAGAAAAAAAAACAAAATATACAAATGGCCAAGAAGCAAATGAAAAGATGCTCAACATCACGGATCATTAGGGAAATGCAAATCACCTCACACCCATTAGGATGGCTACTATAAAAACAAACACAAGAGCAAAACATAAAAATTAAAATTAAAAATAACAGGTGATGGCGAGGATCTGGAAAAACTGGAATCCTTGTATACTGTTGGTGGGAATGTAGAATGTAAAACGCTATGGAAAACAGTATGGTGCTTCCTCAGAAACACTAAAAATAGAATTTCCATGATTAGCAATTCTAGTTCTGGATGTATTACCCTCCCTCTCCCCCCAATGAAAGCAGGCTCTCAAAGAGATATTTGCACACTAATTATATTAGTTTACTAGGGTTGCCATGACAAAGCCCCACAGACTGGGTAGGTGGACAACAGAAATTAATTTTCTCACAGTTCTGGAGGCTGGAAGTCTGAGATCAAGGTGTCGGTAAGGATGGCTTCTTCTGAGGCCATTCTCTTTGGCTCATAGATGGCTGGCTGTCTTCTCTCTGCCTTCACATGGTGTATCCTCTGCATGTGTCTGTATCCTGACCGCCTCTTCTTATAATGACACAGGAAGGGCCTGTTGGATTAGGGCCTGCCCAGAGGACCTCACTTTAACTTCATTACTTTTTTAAAGACCCTATGTTTAAATATACTCATATGCGGAGGTGCTGGGGGTTAGAACTTCAACCTGTGAATTTGGGTGAGGGGAACACAATTCAACCCAGAACATCTGTGTTCATAGCAGCATAAGTCACAATCGCCAAAAGGTGGACGCAACCCAAGTGTCCCTCGACGGATGAGTAGATAAGCAAAATGTGGGCTTTCCATACAATGGAAGATTATTCAGCCCTAAAAAGGAAGGAAATCCTGACATGGGCTACAGCATGGATGAAGCTTGAAGACATTATGCTAAATGAAATGAGCAAGTCATAAAAAAAGACAAATTCTATATGATTCTATTTATAAGAGGTCCCTAGAGGAGTGAGAGTCATAGAGACAGAAAGTAGATTGGTGGCTGCCAGGGGCTGGGGGACAGGACGAATGGGGAGTTAGTGTTTAATGGGACACAGTTTTAGTTTGCGAAGATGAAAAGAGCTCTGCAGATGGATGGTGGGGATAGTTATACCACGTGAATGTACTTAACACTACTGGACTGTACATTTAAAATGGGTAAGATGGTGATTTTTATGTTACGTGTATTTTACCACAATAAAAAAGCAAAAAGCGGGGCTGGCCGAGTGGCGTGATGGTTAAGAGTTGGCTTGGGAGTGCGAGCTCTGAGCAGCAGGGCTGCCGGTTTGGATTCCACATGGGCTAGTGATGCTGCGCCCTCTACAGCTAAGATGGTGAACAACAGCTCGACCTGGAGCTGGGCTGCCGTGAGTCACCGGCAACAGCGTAGACTGCAGTGGGGCTGCCGTGGGCTGCCGTAAGCTACTGTGAGTGGCCGGCAGCCAGCGTGAGCTGCCGTGAGCCACTGTGAGCAACCGTCCAATGGCCAGCGACCAATCTGCCCCAGCCAGGAAGAGCGCAATGATAGTACCAACATAGGCCAGTGAAACGACGTCCTCCACAACTAGACTGAAGAACAAAAGGACAGCAACGTGTCTGTTCCCCTCCCCCGATTCCTCAATGCTGTTCCCCTCCCCCAATTCCCCAATAAAAAAATAATAAAGCCAAAAGCTTAAAAAGGAAAGGTTGAAGACACAGGCAGGTTCTCCCGGTGGAGGACTGGCCAGCTGTGGTTTCCGTCTGGGTGTGGAGACTCACCAGGCAAGAAGGACAAGCAGCGCTGAGGGTAAAATGATGCCTTTGTTGCCGACAAGGCGGGCTGTGGCCAGCTCCATCCCACCCGCGCTACTCCTCCAGCCACTGTGCCGGCTGGCTTTCCTGATCGTTTTGCCCCACCTCCCAGCCCAACGCTCCCCCGACGAGGCCCCAATATCTTTCCCAGGAAGACACACATCCATGAATACTCCCTCAAGGTTCCACACCGTCATGTCATGAGCTGCAGCCCGGTCCGTCAGCCGCTCCCCAAAGATGGGCCTTGCCCTTCGTTCCTTCCGCTCCCCCTTCGCGCTTCCCCTTCCGGCCCCTTCACCCCGGGTGACAGGAGGCAGTGACTTCCTGAAGGGAGATATGGAGAGTGGCCAGGACCTCTGAGAGGGGCTCGTGTGTCGTCATGCCATCCTTCTACCAGTTTGCCATCCGTGTCCCTCCCTAATGGTCGGTATTCTGGGATGACTCGGGCAGGGAGAGGTGACACACGAGAGCCATGTGCAGTCCCTGGATGAGGCAGATGGGCACCTGCGGGCCACTGTCATTGACCGCGTGCTCTGTTTCCATCCTAGGACCTGAGTTCCTTTGCCATGCCTCTCCTGGATGGAGACCTGGAGAGTTCAGAAAAGCATTCTCATAAGGTAAGGCCGTCTATCTCACAGATCGCCTGAGGTGCCACCAACGCAGGACTCTCCCAGTGAGAGTCCAAGAGACACTTCCACCTGCCTTTCCACCTGCACACCCACCTGTGCTCCCACCTCAAGTTATATTGACAGAAGGCCACCTTTTTGATGGCAGTGAGGTGACTACCTACCAAGCATAATTCCCAAACTGCCTTGGAAGGGCCCCCTTCTTCACCTGCCAAATTTCACCCCTTGGTCTTAGCGATCCCGTTCAAAATGTAGACACCCTGTAAGGAGAGCATGGTGTAGACTCTGCTGACATCCAGCCCTTTCTGAGGATGTGACGATGGGAGGGGGGGAGGCGCTGCCAGGCTCCTGAAGTGGAGAGAAGTGATAAGAGCGGGAAGATGAGGAGGGGGCACTGCAGGGGCCAGTGACATCCCTGAAGAGGAGGGACAGCTGGGAGCAGAGCGGAACAGAGGCAGCGGAGGGTGTGGCAGCTCTGCCCCCAAGAGCCTCAGTGGATTTATGACATTCCTCCCTGACCTCATGGGGACCTGAACCTACTGTTCTTTGCTCTGTCCATAGACCCACCCGTCAGCCTGTGCTCAGCAGCTCTCTCTTCTCCCCAAGCTGAGCTTACTGTGCAATGCGCAGAGGGCGTCTGTGGGGCCCACCTTGCAGACAGTTCCCAAACAGGACTCGCCCCCTCTGCCCTCGAGCTTGACCTTGGCCCTGTTCCTGGCGGCTCCCCCTCCCAGCCGGGTCTGCTGCTCTCAGTGTGAGGGTAAAAGCCGTGGGCCCTGGGGTCCCACTCCAACACTGACCAGCTTTGTGGCCTGGGCTCCACCTCCAGCCAGCACCTTCTCCTAGCTTCAGGCTTGGTGGCACTCAGTGAGTGAGGTGAGGAGTGATCAGAATGGCCCACCCTAAACACAGCTGACCGTGCCATTCCTTGCCAAGGAGCCTTCCTGGTTTTCCCTCAAACAGGGCTCTTACCCTACACATGGCATTTTCCCATAATTTGGCCCTGCCTCCTTGACCGTCCACAAATACCAAGGACCTGTTCATACCCAATCCGTGATGACGAGGGCGGATCACGTGTGTGTGAGGTACTTACGACGTGCCAGGAGCTGTGCCAGCTGCATCACTCACAGTATATCCCGTCTTTTTCACCACCTTGTATGGATGAGGACACTGAAGCTTAAGCCGTTTGTAACAGTTCTAGAAACTGAGCCACGATTCAGACTCCAGTCTCTGTCCCCAGAATCCTTGCTTGCACCACCCTGCTGGTGGGTGACATTCCCCCCGCCCCCACTCCGTGTCCTCAGGCACACACCGCCCACTCCTCAAAGACCTTCTTTTTGTTAATTAGTCTAAAGATTCGAAAAAGCTTCAGGAAGCCTGAGTTCCATAGATGGGTGGCTTAGTGGCTCAACTGAATAGAGACAGAGAATTGAAATGCTTGTTCTAGTAAGTGGTTAGAAAAAGAAAAACTTGAGCTTCCTTGTAAGGAGGTGAACTTGAGTTCCATGGTTGTCATCGCCAGGAGCCCTGTGCCTCAGAAGCCCGGTAGGTGAAGGGCTCAGCATGGAGCCTGCCGTGGTACCTCCCTGTAGCCACGGAAGTGGGGCATCTCAGGGAGAGGTGGACTTGGGGTTGAGTGTCTCTGAAGGTGGCAACTGGACAAGGGCAGCACATCCTTTAAAAGAAACTCCAGCCCAGTTTGGGGGCGCCCTCTGGTGGTAGAAGAATTCACAGGGGCCCTGGGTCCAGGCAGGCACCCCCAGTAGACAGAGGCCAGTGTGGGCACGGAGGCTGCCTCGGGGCGTGTGCACTTACCTACCTTCTCAGCACACCTGTGGTCACCAGGATCTCAGTGTGCTAGACGATTCCCCCACCAGGCCTCGCCCTTGCCCCATCTGCCCTGCAGACAGGTCATGGGTGAAGTGAGCCTCAGAGGGTTTCCGCCTCGTTCACTTTCTTTCTGACCTCTGTCAACAACCCTGTCACTCCAGTGCCCAAAGCAGCCTGGAGGTGAAAAACACACCCCTTCCTAGTGCCAGGGCCCCGTGGGATGGAGCCCCAGGCCCACTGTGTTCAGATCACCGAGATTCGCGTTTCCTCCTTTGAAGAAGGGCAGGAGAGCTTTGTCCCAGTGTGGTCAGACCTGGAGAAGGACATACGTGAGGTATTGAGAAGTAGAGGCCAGGAGACAGACCCACAAATAGCTTAAAGGCGGAGGAGGCATCATCTTGAGCCATGTCCGCTGCCCGTCCCGTCCTCCCCACCGTCTCTAGGCGACCCCTTCTAGAGAGCTGGATGGAGGTCAGTGGATGGGCCGTCCTTGGGTCAGGTGCTTTCTCCGGACCACTGGTGGCCACTTCTGTTTGTAGAAGAGCTTAGGGCTGCCTCTCGGGCAGGGTGCCGAGGAGGAGCAGCGTGGTGACAGCGGACCTTGGGAGGGACAGGACCGAGGTCTGAGCGCCTGAGCTCTGAGTGGCTTCATCCATTTGTCTGTCTCTCCGCAGGTGGACAGCCCCTTCGGCTCGGGCAGCCCCTCCAAAGGGTTCTTCTCCAGAGGCCCCCAGCACCGGCCCTCCAGCCCCGTGTCTGCTCCCGTGAGGCCCAAGACCAGCCCGGGGTCTCCCAAAACCGTGTTCCCGTTCTCCTACCAGGAGTCCCCACCGCGCTCCCCACGTCGCATGAGCTTCACTGGGATCTTCCGCTCCTCGTCCAAAGAGGCTTCTCCCACCTCCAACCCGTCTACCTCGCCCGGGGGCATCCGGTTCTTCTCCCGCTCCAGAAAAAGTAAGACACTGATGCTATTGTTTCAGGTGGGTGCCGGGCAGCTGGGGACCTTCCTATGGCCACTTGGCCGCGGTGCCACCCGCAAGGGCACCACAGCTGGCCGGGTGGCTGGGAGGGACCTGGTGCTGAGCGTGCATGTCTGTGTCTGTCCCCAGGAACACATCTCCCTCCAGGGTAATCTTGGTTCCCACCTGTGAGTTTCTCCCTACACTAATCCATCTGGGGTGGCCTGGCCCCTGGGATGAACTGTAAACAGCCAATACTCGGAGTGTGACTTGAAGGGGCAGCCACATGAGGCCTTGGCTTCCAGCCTTCCCTGAGAAAAGGCAGTGGCGTGAAGCTGAGGTTTGTCCCCTGCCGGGTGCCGGGTGCCCAGCCCTTGCTCTGATCTGCCCAGTGGCCCCAGTGGGTGTGGTTCGGTATTGGGGGATTTGCGTGTACCTGTCTCTGGCAGATCGACTCTTTTGTAGAGAAACAGAGGAAGGAAATGTGTGTGTAAGAGAGAGCTCTATAGGCTCACGAGTATTTGTGATCTAAGTATAAAATATTCTCAGTTAAGCACCGTTGATCATAGTTGGAAATATACGCGTACGAGGCAAACTCTAAGGTGGATGCGTTCATTTTCTCCTTTCCTGTGTCTTAGTGCATCTTTCTACTCTTTTCGGTTCTTTCTGAGGGTGTAGAAAGTTCTGATTCGGGAAGGCAGTGATTTGGGAAATAAACTTGCACTTGAGCATCGGAGGTTTGGGGGTGGGGGTCTTGCTTTATTTCCAGGCGTCAGGACCTGTAGGGTAAGCAGTACGTGACCGGGAAGTCCAGGCCACCGACGGCGATTTTAGTGTCAGTGACTTACAAGGAAAGAGAAGGGGGTGTCTCTCTTCTCTTCTTTGTTATTATTTTTTTTGCGGTATTGTTCCTAATACCCCTAAAGTCACTGCCCATCATGAGTGGACCTAAATATAAATGCATCAATGTCATATGACAAAGTGGTTTTCAAGGCTGACGTCACCGGGTGACATGGAGTTGGGAACGATATGCCGTATTTCCCCATATTTCCCCATGTATAAGATGCACCCTTTTTTGAAAAATTTGGGGTCTAAAAACTGGGTGTGTCTTATATAGTGGTTGTAGTTTTTTTATTTGTATTTCCCGCAAGTGACGAGGAGTTGTATGAATTTTATGATGAATAAAACTTGAGTTCAATAACTTTATGTAATACATTTTTTTCAAATTTTGGGCCCCCAAATTTTTTCCCCATCTTATACATGGGGAAATACAGTATATGAATCCTGATAGGGTGGGTGTGTCCTGGCATCGATGTGCAGAAGCTCTAGGGAGCACCCCCAGTTTCCTTGACAGGGATCCTGAAATTCTCAAATATTCTGCCATGCACCACCTCTAAGAGGAGGGGACATCAGACCAGACCTACATCAGGGTGACCTGTTTCTCCAGAGCTGGCATCATGTCTGTGTTGCTTACAACAGAAAGCTAGGTTTGCTGGGGCTGCCATAACACAATCCCCCAACCCTGGGGAGCTGAAACCACAGAAATGTATTCTCTCGCAGTCCTGGAGGCCAGGTATCCAAAACTAGGATGTCAGGTGGGCTGCGCTCCCTCTGAATCTAGAGGACAGTGTCCTATGCCTGTGTCTTAGCTTCTGGTGTCTCTTGGCATCCCTTGGCTTGTAGAAGCGTCACCCCAGTCTCTGCCTCTGCCTGTCGTCACACGGTGTCCGCCTTCGTGTGTCTGTGTGTCTCTCCCCTCCATATAAGGATACTAGCACTATTGGATTAAGGGCCCACCTACTCCAGTGTGATCTCGCCTTAATTAATTACACTTGCGATGACCCTACTTCCCAGTAAGGTCACATTCTGAGGTTCCTAAAAAAACATGAATTCAGAGAAGACACTTCTTCAACCCAGTGCACAGGTTATATGGGAAAAGCCAAGAGCTACAATTCACACCTCTGGCTGGGATGTAGAGGACTGGTGGGTAGGGGTCAGGGGGCCAGCCTGTTAAGACCAGGGTTATTTCTGAAGGCGGAAGCGGGCAGACGAGACACGGCGTCTGGGTGGTCTGGGAGCGCCTGCAGGGGGGACGTTGGGTAATGAGGATGGGCCAGACTCGCTGCTCCCTGGGAAGCAGAGGATCCTGCTGTCTTTTCCTGTTCAGTATTTTAAAAGCCCTTCAATGTCCTTGGCCAGAAAATACCCAGTTTCAAAGGTCTGTCCGTACGATGCTGTGGAATAGGCTGCTTGCTCAGGCTGTTCTCTATCATCTATCTGGGGAGGCGGCCATCGGCCGGGCTCGGGAAGGTCTGGACTGACTGGCGGCTCATAACAAGCATTGATTAGCCCGGGGCACGCCGGGCCCCAAGACCGCTGCCCATGCCGTTGCCCTTGAACCACCCAGCCCAGGCCCTTCATGTTCCCTAAGCGGAAGCCAACCCTGCCCAGCCCTGTCGTCAATGGAGCGTGAAGAACCAGGTCTGTGTGCAGGCAGAGCGTGCGCTCCTTCCCTGGGGGGACCGCCGGGCTCCTTGGCACTCTAGTCTTAATTGTGCGTGGCATAGGCGTGCGTGGAGGGTACTCAGTCTTTCTGCTCTTCCTTAGTCCATTCCCGGATCAAAGTGCCTAGACTATACATTGCTCCCTGCTGCCCCAGAACTAATTTCACAGAATTGAGCTTGAGAGTACTGCCATCAGCCTGTGGGGTCTTTATAAGTAATAGCCCATGGAACCCCAGTGTCCATCGGAAGGGTGTCACGAAGACACTGTTTGTTACACAAGGCCCCTGGGAGAAATCTCCTGTCCCGGCTCGGAACCAAGAATAGCTGGACTTGTGAGCAACTGGGTTGTTTCGTCTGTAACGGACACTAATCACGAAGTGGCCCAGTTTTCCCTGTGTGTGTGTGTGCACTGCCTGCTAGAAATCTTAGAACCAGATTTGTCCGAGGGACATTATGGGATGCTATTTTAGTCTCATTTCTGAGTCCAATGTTGGTCCCCGTCCTCGACTTTCACATTACTTTATTTTAAAACAAGGAAGACAGTTTTTTGGAAGGAACGGTCAGGACCCAGGAAGACTGGCTCTGGGGGGCTTGGCAGCACGAGTTGATGGATCTTCCCATGAGGTCCAGAGAGTTGCTCGTCTTTGTGTCTCTCCACTTACCACCCCACACTCCTCCTAAGGAAATGCCCCTTTGCTCCTCGAGTTCTGCATCCTGTCTTTTTATCCAGTGACTCCTGTCTTTTTATCCAGTGATGTATGACCTGTGACTTATGATGAACGCGGAATTTCAAAGTGTGACAAGCTCCCCAGGGGACACCGATATATACTCAAGCTTGAGAAACACCGTTGCCTATTATTATTCAGGGGGGAGAAAGAGAGGAGGTAGAAAGTGTGAGCACCATCGCTTTCAAAGGGGAAACAAAAACGGAAAAGGCAGTCATGCAATCTTCAGACACCCCAGGAACCGGAACGGGAATACAGACGGGAGAGCCAGTCCCAGCAAATACCAAGGCTGGCTGGTGTTCTTTGCCCAGGGAAGAGGACCAAAGCTTCGTTCTAGAAGGATCTTCTCCCTCGGAGGGCCTGCTTGTATGGAGTGGCTGGGGTCTCTCACTAATATTTACCTGTGGTCGACTGGTCCAGTGGCATGTTGATTCAAGACGTGTCTTGTGGGTTCTGGGGTTTGCACCGTATTCTTTCCAGCCCGCCTGTGTAGTAGCAAGCCTTTGATGATCAGGGTCAGTCACCCCAACCAAAACAATAACCTGCTTTTGTGCTTCCTCCCTGAGTATAATGGTCAGCACACTAGCGCCCAGGGACGAACACCTGGCCTGCCACCTGTTTCTGGAAATAAAGCTTCATTGAAACCCAGTCACATCCGTTTGTTTCTTTTGACTGCGGCTGCATTCACACAGCAACAAAGACTATACGGCCCACAAAGTCCGAACTGTTCACCTTGTCGAGTATGTGCCCGTATGGTTGTAGAAGCTTCCAAACAGTGAATCTTTATCTTCCAAAGATTTTTGTTTTCAACTTGATTTAGAATGAGCTTGCCTTTGGAGTTGAGGAAAGCCCGTATCCATATCTTCATAAACTACAAATAATAAAATGAAGGCAACTTAAAAGGTGAAAACCTTGCACAGTCAGCAAGGCAGGACCTCAAGAAGTATTTCATTTCATGTTACTCAACTTTGCTCCCTAATCGTTGATAATAGTTATAATACTATAAACATTATACCTAATAATTATACAGAATCATAAGTGCCTACCATGTGCACTCTAATTGCATCAAATGTGATGATCGTTTTAATCTTCGTTAAAAGCTCTCTGAAGCAGTATTTTCACTGTTTTCATCAAAGTGGACGCTGAAGCGCAGAGAGGTTAAGCCATTGAGCACAGAGCACATAGCTAGTAAGTGGCAGAACCAAGATTTGTACCCAGGGGGTCTAACACCCAAATCCACTTTTAACCTAGATGGGAAGACCCCACTTCTAAGGAGTGAATTTTAGGAGCAGAAAGCCAATGACAGGACCACTGGCTGGCCATTTAGGGGAAAACAAAATAGAGGTGGTTCCTCGGTCATTCCTTACACCAAAATGATTCCCATGTGGAGCAAGGCTTTAAGTGTTATTTAAATGTCCCCCAAAGTGGGTAACTGTCTTAATCTTGGGGTGTCAGGCCTTTGTAAAGAGCACAATAGGCATGTTTATAAACGTGACATAAATATTGACAGACTTTCTCGAAGTCCCTGGAAGTCCGCAAGCTTGATGCTCAGAGCTTTGGTGCATTGGGTGGAGAAGAGTAGTGGATTTACATGAGAAAGGGCAGGGAACTGTCTAAGGGGGACATGTGGAGGGAGATGCGTGATGGGGGGCCGGGGTGAATGAGCGAAAACTCTGGGAGGTGGATTGGAGCTGGGGAGCGGATGCAAGGATCATACGGGAATATGATCAAGTTACCCGGCCAGGGCTAGGTGGGGAATTAGACAA